TGGAGGTCTTCTAGTCCAGCCCCCTGCTCAAGCAGGAGACCCTATACCATCTCAGACAAGTGGCTGTCCAGTCTCTCCTTAAAAACCTCCAGTGATGGAGCGCCCACAACTTCTGGAGGCAAAGCTGTTCCACTGGCTAATTGTCCTCACTGTCAGGAGGTTTCTCCTTAATTCCAGGTTGCTTAATGGTAGGTGGGAATGACCTTGGGAAGAGCCACAGCCTAGACAACTGTCTGATAAATGCAATCTGTCTCTAAAGGAGGAGGAGGAGGAGGAGGAGGAGGAGGGGGGGGGAAAGTGTCTCAGAAAGGACTCTGCCTAGTTTTCAGGAGAATAAAGAAGAAGGACGAGAGGACCACTCGCAGAAGTTACAAGAATCTGTTACTATCCCTTTACAATAAAAGTGGCATTAGTGCTCACGGCAGTCCTCTTTATCTGGGCTGACAGAGAGAGAGAGAGAGAGAGACAGAGACAGAGAGACAGAGACAGACAGACAGACAGAGACAGAGACACAGAGAGACAGAGAGAGAGACAGACACAGACAGAAACAGAGAAACAGACAGAGAGAGACAGAAACAGACAGACAGAGAGAGGCAGAGACAGACAGAGACAGAGAGACACAGAGAGAGACAGAGAGAGAGAGAAAGAGAGAGACAGAGACAGAGAGACAGAGAGAGAGACAGAGAGAGAGAGAGACAGAGAGAGACAGAAACAGACAGAGAGAGAGGCAGAGACAGACAGAGACAGACAGAGACAGACACAGAGAGAGACAGAGAGAGAGAGAAAGAGAGAGACAGAGACAGAGAGGGACAGAGAGAGAGACAGAGAGAGACAGACAGAGAGACAGACAGAGACACACAGAGAGACAGAGACACAGAGAGACACACACAGAGACAGAGAGAGAGAGACAGACAGACACAGACAGAAACAGAGAAACAGACAGAGACAGAGAGAGACAGAAACAGACAGACAGACAGAGAGAGACAGAGAGACAGAGAGACAGAGAGAGAGAGAGAGAGAGAGAGAGACAGAGACAGACAGAGAGAGACAAAGAGAGAGACAGAGAGAGAGAGAAAGAGAGAGACAGAGACAGAGAGGGACAGAGAAACAGACAGAGAGAGAGAGAAAGAGAGAGACAGACAGAGACAGAGAGAGAGAGACAGAGACAGAGAGAGACAGAGACAGAGAGACAGAGAGAGAGACAGAGACAGAGAGAGACAGAGACAGAGAGAGACAGAGAGAGAGAGAGAAAGAGAGAGACAGACACAGAGAGAGACAGAGAGAAAGAGAGAGACAGACACAGAGAGAGACAGAGAGAGAAAGAGAGAGACAGAGACAGAGACAGACAGAGACAGAGAGACAGAGAGAGAGAGAAAGAGAGAGACAGACACACACACAGAGAGAGACAGAGACAGAGAGAGACAGAGACAGACACAGAGAGAGAGACAGAGACAGAGAGAGACAGAGAGAGACACAGAGAGAGAGACAGAGAAAGAGAGAGACAGAGAGAGAGAGACACACACACAGAGAGAGAGAGACAGAGACAGAGAGAGACAGAGACAGACAGAGACAGAGACAGAGAGAGACAGAGAGAGAGAGAGACAGAGAGAGAGAGAAAGAGAGAGACAGACACAGAGAGAGAGAGAGACAGAGAATGGTTAAAAGGCACCAAGAACTAAGGGATGCTGGAGGGCAGCTGATTAATTCCGCGTTTCTCAACCTGCCCCCTTCTCATCCAGCACTTTCCTCCTTGCACCAGCCTGGCCCTGCTCCATGTTCCCGGGGAGCCTTGGGGCCTGAGGACCAGATATCATTGTGTATCAGTGATTGGGTGACCTCTGCAGATGCCATACGCTAAATAAATAAATGACCAGACCTTCTTCACGGCCCCTGGCTATGGCCAGTTGCTACTGCATCCCTTTCTATGGCTCACAGCCCTTTTGTAGGGGAGGGGGCCTCCCTTTCCCGTTCTCCCACCCTAGGCAGGAGCTGATAATAGAATAGAATAGAAAATAGAATATAGAAAATAATAGAATATAGAATAGAATAGAAAATAGAATAGAGAATAGAATGAATAGAGAATAGAATATAGAAAATAGAATAGAATAGAAAATAGAATAGAATAGAAAATAGAATATAGAATATAGAAAAGAATAGAATAGAATATAGAATAGAGAATAGAATAGAAAATAGAATAGAGAATAGAATATAGAAACTAGAAAATAGAATAGAAAATAGAATATAGAAAAGAATAGAATATAGAAAAGAATAGAATAGAATATAGAATAGAATATAGAATAGAATAGAAAATAGAATAGAATAGAATAGAAAATAGAATATAGAATATAGAAAAGAATAGAATAGAAAATAGAATATAGAATATAGAAAAGAATAGAATAGAATATAGAATAGAATATAGAATAGAATATAGAATAGAATATAGAATAGAGTAGAGTAGAGAATAGAGTAGAGTAGAGAATAGAATATAATATAAAATAGAATGGAATGGAATAGCTGAAAGGGACCTTGGAGGTCTTCTAGTCCAGCCCGCTGCTCAAGCAGCATGCAGGTCTCTGTCCTGGTGATCTGGAGATGGTCCCTTGCATCTCTCCCTCCCTGCTAGACCTTCCAGGGTGGGCGGCTTCCCCCCAGGGCAGGGGATCCACAGCCACCCTTCTTGTCGGCACTCAGCTTTGGGCAAGGAAGGCTTCCGGCCTGAGCAGACCTGGGGGCTGGTGGTGATGTAGAAGCCAGAGACGCCAGCTTTCTCCAGGGTGCTCTGCTGGTCCACCACTTTCTGATCCAGCTCCAGGACTATTTTCTCGTCCATCATCCGTTGCTCGGTATGAATCCGCTGCTCCACGGCCTGAGCAAACAACAAACCCAAAAGGCCAAAGAAGAACCACCGTTAACAGCCATTGGCATTTTGAACGATGCTACAAGCCATGGGCAAAGAGGGAAGGGAGCTCTCCACCCCAACGTCACCCCCCCTCAAGGTTACTCCATGAAAGACCAGGCAGGTCCACAGGCACGATCAAAAAAGTCAAGATGGAGGCCAGGACAATGTAGTCAAAATTCCAGTTGAGAACTGAGAAAAGCAACCTGGAATTAAGAAATTTCCTGACAGAATAATTAACCTGTGAAACAGCTTTCCTTTAGAACAGTGGTTCTCAACCTTTTTAATGCCGCGACCACCAACCGGTCGTAAGTCGAGGACTAAACCGGTCGTAAGTCGAGGACTAAACCGGTCGTAAGTCAAGGACTACCCAACCGGTCGTAAGTCGAGGACTTTCCCTGCCCGGGAGCAACGCGCATGCGTGGTTCCGCCCCCTGCGCCAGCCGAGGCGTAGCTGGCAAGCGGCAGAGACGGAGCAGGACGACCACCAGCTGGCCCAGCCCAAGGGAGGTAAGGCACCCGCCAGAAAAGGGAGAAAAATGGCGGACAAAAAAATGGCGGACAGCCTTGCTTGGCGACCCCCATGAAATGGTCGATCGACCCCAAATGGGGTCGCGACCCATAGGTTGAGAACCACTGCTTTAGAAGTTGTGGGTGCTTCATCAATGGAGGCTTTGAAGAAGAGCTTTTAAGAAGACCCTACACCAGGGGTCCCCAACCTGTGGGCAAGTGGCCCGGTAGTGGGCCGTGGCCTGCTGGCCACGGGACAAGCTGGCCAGTGCCTGCATGTGTGCGTGCACACACACACACTCACGGTAGCACCACAATCATGGGGCACGAAAATGGGCTGCCACCGCGCCTTGCGGTGTGAAAATGAGACGACGCGCCTCGGGGTATGAAAACGGGACATTGCCACGCCTTGGGATGTGAAAACAGGATGCAGCTGCGCCTTGGGTGTGAAAACAGGATGCCGAGGGCACACTGCGGGGCGGAAAAACGTACAGCGCTGTGCTGTGCAAGAACGGGGCAGGGCTACTGAGTATCATGCAAGCGCTAGCCCTGCCCCATTTGCGTCACGTGTGCTCGTGGCCCCATGAACGCACGCGCACACATGCGCACGTGTAAAATACTTCTTCCTCCCTTTCTCTCCTGTCTCCAACCGAGAAAGATTGGTGACCTCTGCCCTCTGCCATTCCAGACAGCTACTTGTTTGGAATAGTATAGGTCAGGGGTAGGCCACCTTGGCTCTTTTATGACTCGTGGACTTCAACTCCCAGAATTCCTGAGCCAGCCATGCTGAGGGGAAAGGGAGAGGTTTCTATGCTGAGCTATGTTGGCTCAGGAATTCTGGGAGTTGAAGTCCACAAGTCATAAAGCGGCCTAGCCTAGGCCTAGGCCAGAGGTAGGTAACCTTGGCTCTTTTATGACTCCTGGACTTCAACTCCCAGAATTCCTGAGCCAGCCATGCTGAGGGGAAAGGGAGAGGTTTCTATGCTGAGCTATGTTGACTCAGGAATTCTGGGAGTTGAAGTCCACAAGTCATAAAGCGGCCTAGCCTAGGCCTAGGCCAGAGATAGGTAACCTTGGCTCTTTTATGACTCCTGGACTTCAACTCCCAGAATTCCTGAGCCAGCCATGCTGAGGGGAAAGGGAGTTTCCAAGCTGAGCCATGCTGGCTGAGGAATTCTGGGAGTTGAAGTCCACAAGTCATAAAGCGGCCTAGCCTAGGCCTAGGCCAGAGGTAGGCCACCTTGGCTCTTTTATGACTCGTGGACTTCAACTCCCAGAATTCCTGAGCCAGCCATGCTGAGGGGAAAGGGAGAGGTTTCCAAGCTGAGCCATGCTGGCTGAGGAATTCTGGGAGTTGAAGTCCACGAGTCATAAAAGGGCCAGGTTTGAAGACGTCTGGTCTGGATCCAAGCCCGCAGTTTCATCAAAATGGCCGACTGAGGAATTCTGGGAGTTGAAGTCCACAAGTCATAAAAGGGCCAAGTTTGAAGACCCCTGGCATAGAGCTTGAAAGCATTTCAGCACCACAGAGTTATGGTTTCCTTCCAGCCCTTCCAGGAATGCTGGGAAACCGGTTTGCTGCATTGATGTCACTTCCCCGCTCAGAAGCACTGAAGGGGCATAAAACAAGAGACAGAGCCGCAAAGCTGGTGGGTCAAAAACCTCCAGGGTCTGGATTCAGACCATCCTTCTAATGCTTCTCAAAAGAGTTGTAAGCTCATTTGGATCCAGGTGTACCTGTGAGGGGAAAGTCTCCGTGGATGCAACCAGGTCCAGAGATCAACATCCTGCACTGTGTGTGCTAAAAGTAGGGTCGAGGGAGGAGGAAGCAGCCAGTATGTTTGAATTAGGAAATAGACAGGCCACTTCAACCCTGCTGTAAAGCCTCTTGCGACCTCTGCAGACTTTGGCCTGAATCATCCATCTTACTCTGGGCCAGGGGTCTGCAACCTTAAACACTCAAAGAGCCACTTGGACCCGTTTCCCAGAGAAAAGAAAACACTGGGAGCTGCAAAACTTGTGCAGGCACGCACGCAAGGGATGGGGAGCTTGATTGAAGAGTTTAATTAAAAAGAAATAGAGCCTGCTGTGCATGAGTCCTCTCTTTCTCTCTTTCCTCTCCCTCTCTTTCCTCTCTCTACCTCTCTCTCTCTCCCTCTTTCCTCTCTCTCTCTCCCTTTTTTCTTTCCCTCTCTCTCTCCCTTTCTCCCTACCTCTTTCTCTCTTTCCTCTCCCTCTCTTTCCTCTCTCTACCTCTCTCTCTCCCTATCTTTCCTCTCTCTCTCTCTTTTTTCTTTCCCTCTTTCCCTCTCTCCCTACCTCTTTCTCTCTTTCCTCTCCCTCTTTCCTCTCTTCCTCTCTCTCCCTATCTTTCCTCTCTCTCTCCTTTTTCTTTCCCTTTCCCTCTCTCCCTTTCTCCCTACCTCTTTCTCTCTTTCCTCTCCCTCTCTTTCCTCTCTCTTCCTCTCTCTCCCTATCTTTCCTCTCTCTCTCTTTTTTCTTTCCCTCTTTCCCTCTCTCCCTTTCTCCCTACCTCTTTCTCTTTCCTCTCTTCCTCTCTCCCTATTTTTCCTCTCTCTCCTTTTTCTTTCCCTTTCTCTCTCCCTTTCTCCCTACCTCTTTCTCTTTCCTCTCTTCCTCTCTCTCCCTATTTTTCCTCTCTCCTTTTTCTTTCCCTTTCTCTCTCCCTTTATCCCTACCTCTTTCTCTCTTTCCTCTCCCTCTTTCCTCTCTCTACCTCTCTCTCTCTCCCTATCTTTCCTCTCTCTCTCTCTCTTTTTCTTTCCCTCTTTCTCTCTCTCCCTTTCTCCTTACCTCTTTCTCTCTTTCCTCTCCCTCTCTCTCTCTCTCTCTGAGAGAGAAGGGAAGTGCAAGTGCCTCTCTTTGTCTCTCTCTCTCTGCAAATGGCAGAAGAGGCTGGGGGCCGCAGGTTGCTGACCCGTGCTCTGGGCTGAAGCCCAAAAGGAATAAGTTCCTTCCCACCGAGACTCGTCCCTTAGCGGCTGCGGCCTTTACCTCCATCTCTCGCTGCTGAGCGGCCTTCAGGAGGGGCAGGTTGTGCGGCTGGCAACTCTGCTGGTCTTCCTTGTGTTTGCGAAGGACCTCCTGCTTGAGGGCTGGCGGGAGGAGAAAAACAGAATGAGCCCCCCCCCAAGACGCAGCCCGTCACCCTTCGCTAGTGAAGCGCAAAGACTCGGTGGGCGCGGCCCATTTGTGCGCGCGGCTCACGTACCTCGATGCTCCATCTGCAGTTTGAGCCGCTGGTTGTAGAGGTTTCGCTCGGTCAGATGCTGGATGTCCAGCAGGCCTTGCACGATCTCAAAGACGGTCCCGTCCAGGAGGGCCAAGGACAGGTCGCTGAGGATGGTGTAGGACAGCCTCTGCTGGGAGGAACTGGGATGGGGGGGAGAGGAAACATGGGCATCTCAACCAGGAAAACTCACCCACAGGAGAGGCCAGTGAGTTGGCCTTTTTCTCCCAAGCGTGAGGCTGCTTGCCTTTAAGGACTGCAACAGGGGTTTGGATGCAACTGGGCCCAATCCCCATGACTCTGCATTTCTGCTTGTTGGGTCAAAAATGCTGAAAGCAACCTGCCTCCAGAAGCGGTGAATGCTCCAACACTGGAAGTTTTTAAGACGAGACTGGACAGCCATTTGTCTGAAATGGTATAGGGTCTCCTGCCTGTGCAGGGGGTTGGACTAGATGACCTCCAAGGTCCCTTCCAACTTTGTTATTCTATTCTATTCTATTCTATTCTATTCTATTCTATTCTATTCTATTCTAGTCTTCCTGTTTCCATTCTATTCCATTCCATTCTTTTTTCTATTCTATTCTATTCTATTCTATTCTATTCTATTCTATTCTATTCTATTCTATTCTATTCTATTCTATTCTATTCTATTCTACTCTATTCTATTCTAGCAAGGAGAGAAGCAACCTGGAACTAAGGAGGAATTTCCTGACAGTTAGAACAATTAACCAGTGGAACAACCTGCCTCCAGAAGTGGTGAATGCTCCAACACTGGAAGTTTTTAAGAAGAGACTGGACAGCCATTTGTCTGAAATGGTATAGGGTTTCCTGCCTGAGCAGGGGGTTGGACTCGATGACCTCCAAGGTCCCTTCCAACTTTATTATTATTATTGTTGTTGTTGTTGTTGAAAGCTGGGTTTTCGCAAGCATTAAACCCAGTCAACAGAGGCCATGGCTGTATGCAGACACATAATACACTGCACCCCTGCAAATAGCGTACAGCTGGGGGGGGAGGTTTCTGCACTGAAAGCCCCCCCGATTACCATTTTGTGTTGGGTCCAAGCCTGCCCGTCCCCAGCCCTTATTTCCAAGCCTTCAAACTTTTTTAGCAGAATGGAATAAAGGAATATAGCAGTGATGGCGAACCTTTTAGAGACCGAGTGCCCAAACTGCAACCCAAAACCCACTTATGCATCGTCAGGTGCCGGGTGGGTGTGGCCCATTGGGTGGGCGTGGCCCATTGGGGGGTGTGGCCCATTGGGTGGGCGTGGCTGCGGTGGTAACGGCAGACTGGGTGGGACTAAAAAGTTCAATCAATCAATTTCAACTTTGCAAGATCTTTTTTTTCCCCGCGAGAAGTTGAAATTGACTGATTGATTGAACCTTTTTTTTTTGCACAGGGCAGCGGAGGCCTAAAGCGAAAAGGTTTTATAAAACCCAGTTGAAGGCCTAGGACTGGGGCGATGGCGCGCGTGCCCACAGAGAGGGTTCTGAGTGCCACCTCTGGCACCCGTGCCATAGGTTCGCCACCACTGGAATATAGAGTTGGAAGGGACCTGGGAGATCTTTTAGGAGGAGACCCTTGTCAGTGATGCACAAAAGCAGATTGATCCCCTCGGGTAGATTTGCATCTTCAGGGCCTGCAGTATAATTTGCTCTCCATTTTCCATTTCCGCTGCTACTTCTCAATTGTTTATAGCGCCCTGCCTCTTTGATGGGGGAAACAGAAGGAGTTACCCTGACTAAATAAGGCCAGGCGACAGAGACATATGTGGAAGACAGAGACTTCAAACAGTGGGAGAAGAAAGCAATGAATTTAAAACAGGGGTAGTCAACTTTGGCTCTTTTATGACTCGTGGACTTCAATTCCCAGAATTCCTGAGCCAGTTTAGCTGGCTCAGGAATTCTGGGAGTTGAAGTCCACGAGTCATAAAAGAGCCAAGGTTGACTACCCCTGATTTAAAAGATGTTTTTCTCTTTCTCAATCAGAAAACAATGCAGCGTGTATATTGTAATGGATGTAATGGGACAGGATGAATAGTTTGGGTTTAAAATTTATTGGTCTTTCCAGTCAATGGACTGGACTCAAAGTCTGTCAATGTTGTGCCGCTAAAATCAGAATAATAGACCTGGAAGGGACCTTGGAGGTCTTCTAGTCCAGCCCCCTGCTCAACCAGGAGTCCCTATATCGGGGGTCTTCAAACTTGGCCCTTTTATGATTTGTGGACTTCAACTCCTAGAATTCCTCAGCCAGGCACGCTGGGGGACATGATAGCAGTGTTCCAATATCTCAGGGGCTGCCCCAAAGAAGAGGCAGTCAAGCTCTTCTCCAAAGCGCCTGAAGGCAGGACAAGAAGCAACTGGTGGAAACTGATCAAGGAGAGAAGCAACCTGGAACTAAGGAGGAATTTCCTGACAGTTAGAACAATTAACCAGTGGAACAACCTGCCTCCAGAAGCGGTGAATGCTCCAACACTGGAAGTTTTTAAGAACAGACTGGACTGCCATTTGTCTGAAATGGTATAGGGTTTCCTGCCTGAGCAGGAGGTTGGACTAGATGACCTCCAAGATCCCTTTCAACTTTATTATTATTATTATTATTATTATTATTATTATTATTATTATTATTAAGACCCCTGCCCTATATCATTTCAGACCAGTGGCTGTCCAGTCTCTTCTTAAAAACATTGAGTGAAGAAGCAGCCACAATGTCTGGAGGCAAGCTGTTTCATCTGTGAGCTATTAGACTCAGTCCTACTGGACAATGGGACAAACCAAGGTCTACCCTAAACACAGTCAAGCCTGCTTCCAACCCCTGACTTTAGGAAGCCAACAGCAGACCGCTCAGCTGCTCAGCAGGACTGGAGTGCTTAGTGGAGCTTCTGTAACAGACAATTCACGTCCAAGGAGCTGTGGCTACCTTGCATAAAATGACGCATAGGCAGCTTTAGTGATGAGTTTGGTCGCTTCCCAGAGACCTGTGTGTGGCCAAGGCTGTAGGCCACCCAGGTGGAGCGGAGCAGGTGCCCTCTGATAGGAGGAGAAGGTAGGTGGGTCATCTCCTTGGGAATTCTGCTGGCTTTATGACTTCATCCCTGCAGGCTAAAGCGTCAGTTACTGACAGTTATCAGACTGAAGATGCCATCCTGGAGATACGCTGCTCTTCCATGGGACTCTGGGGAAGCTTCCCTCCATTTGTGGCCCACTCCCAGAGGGGCGAGTGAGGGAGAGAGTTGGGGTTAGATTTAGGGTGGGGGGTCTGGGTGAAAGAGCGAGGGGCAGGCTGAAGGGGAGGGGGAGGGTGGGAGGGTGAGGACCAGGGCAGGGGGGCAGGGAGGGGAAGGAGAGAAAGAGAAGGTAAAAGGGGGAGGGGGCGGGAGGCGAGTGGGAAAGGAAGATGGGGAAGGGGAGATGAGGGTGGGGGGCCGGCAAAGATCTTTTCTGGAAAAGTTCATGTTAGGAAGTTGCTCTTCCTTGGACCCGGCCTGAAATCCGCCTCCCCCCCATTTCAGAGGCGGCTTCACACGGCCTGATAGCCAAACCAGCATTAAGACCCCCCCCCAAAAAAACCAGGCCCACTTGGGGGCTTCCGGGTGGCTCCCTCTTGGCCTCCCCCAGACCAGGTGGGGAAAACCCCACGGTCGCAGGGCTGGAGCCTGGGGCAGAGCGAGAGAAGTGCCCGCCGGCCAGTCCTGCTGCCCTGAGCGAAGCCCCTTCCTCCTCCTCCTCCTCTCCCGCCCACCCACCC